AAAATATGTACCAATCAGCTTTAAGATTTTGCCTTCGTTTTAGATGCCAGTAAAACCATACACTAACGTTCCTGGTAACACTAACGTTCCTGGTAGAATACTATGTTATATTTCAGTCATGGGTGAAGTTTTGCCTCTATAAAAGAAGCATTGATGGAGTGAGCGGAACAAGTTCACTTGATTAAATTAATGCAAAAAGTATAATGCATAAGGGGTACAAATAATAATCACATTTATTGTTAATTACATTTTAGACTATATAAACATGAATCGCCAAATGCACTGTTTAATTTGACATTAATAATTCTTATATTCTTAAAATATATTAATTTTGAAAGTCTCTAACAAAGATTTGCAAACACCTATGTTTTAAATAACTGACTATGAACATTCTTTATATTGCTCTGTACTTTCTTAAAGCATACAGTAATGAATGATAGTGCCAAGAGAAATGTGACTTCAATCATTCAGAATTTATACAGTATTGGACAGTAAAAGACATCCACTCTTAATTAGTAAAACTTTAAATTGTTATAACTTTTTTAAAAAAAATTAATTCAAAAACCCCTCTGACAAATTGATAGATTTTTAGCTAAACTACATTTCTGTTAGAGGATTTTTTTTTATTCTTTGTTTTAAAAAAGTTATAAGAGATTAAAGTTTATATAAGTTCAAAAAATTGGTGTTTAATATAGAAAAAAGAAAACATATATAGATTTTTGACCAATCAAAATCAATTGCACAAAATTAACCAATCAGAATTGATTATGTAAGCACCAAAAATTGGTGCCTATATGTATAGATTGGATGTCTTTTACTGTCCTGTATGGTATTATTAAAGTTTCATTTTCTTTTGAAGTTACTTAAAATAATATCTAATATCTACTTGAACTAAATTAAGATATAATGTAAATATAACAAATTCAAATATCTTACATTTAATATATATATATTCATTATGAAATTATACTTACTATAGTAAATACTCAAATTATTCGCAAAATTATCTTGACAAAAATGTCATTAAAATAAGTAATAGGAGTTTTAAGAAATTTTAATAGCAGAATATAATTAATTAAATATAACTACTTATTGTTATGAATATTTGTACTTGCACCTAGTGATGGGACTAATTACATAACAAAACATATTAATATATGTTTTTAATAATACATATATATACTTTATAAAAGATTTACTAGTTTTATTTGCTATAAATTTATGTATATATAAAAAATCTGGTTTTAATTTGGATATAATCCAATTTGATAAGTTTAAATCAGATAATATCTGGATGGATATTTTTTAAAGTGGATATCTATCTGATTTCCATTTAAGTATCCGGATTCAATCACTACTGTGGAGATCAATATAGTTAATTAAGCTCTCCAAGTTTTATTATTACACAATAAATACACTTTAATTTTATCTTTATCGATTACTGTATTTATAATAAGCTATTTTATGTTTTAGTATATATCATTCATCTTTATATAGCATTTTCATTAGAGAGTTTTAGAGTTAGCTTATTTTGAAAATAAGTGGGTGCTTGAAAAGGTTTATTTTTGTTTTAAATTTAGATAAAATAAGCTACTATTTTTTTTTTTTTTTTGAGTATTAATTATTGTGGCAGCTTATGCTGAGATTGGCTTATACTGAGAATTTAAGTTATTTTATTATAAAATTGGAAAATTTTAGAGAGCTTTTTTAGGGGTGTTTGTTTTAGTTGACAGCAAGGTCAACTGATCGAAAAGGGAGCTAAGCAGGGAGGCCCCGGCGTGGTGACAATCACAGTAAAACCAGGACGCCGGCGGGGAAAAACTGGTTCAATCACAATCCGAATTAAGGAAGGCGCAGGAGAAGATAAGTGTTTTAATTAATTACTAAATCAGGTCATTTCACATGAATCTAACATAACGAAAGTTTTGTTTATATATAAAATGCACAGGTGTTGAGATGAACATAGGCAGCCGAAAAAGAACCGAAAATTCGCAAGATGAGCAAGAAAAGCACACAGAATGCAACAATTACAAGGAATGAAAGTTCTGCAACTAATGAATCTGTGGAAACTGTAGCCGCATCAACATGCCAAGATCCAGAAGCACAAGATTCTGATAGAGCATAGACAATCAAATGAAGGCGTATATCAACACTGTGATTTAGTCAACCACAGCGGCCATTATGCGCAACATGCAACAGCTAATAGACCAGCAAATCGAAACGCAGAGGCAATGAAACTTACAATACATGGAGACGATCGACCAAAGATTTGCGCAAATTGAACAAATGAACTTACAGAGCAGTAGCGACAAGAGCAACCAGCATAATAACAATGGCCATATCACAGCTGGGAAAAATCAAGGAGACCCCACTGAGACTAACAGGGAATCAAGTACACCATTGCAAGGTAATTACCCTCCATCTCCTATTATCAACAATATGATTATGAGAGCTAGTGTAGAAGAAACAAACGAGGCGGAAATATATAAAGCAACAACTAGAAAATACCCAACGATAAATTATGGCGCTGTCAAAGAAATTCCGACAATTAAAGGCTTCTATAACCCGAGAGCTATGGAAACAGAGTGCTTTCGTCTTTGGTGGGTCATGAATTGGACGGAAGGGCAAAAGATAATAGAAATGCTGCCACGAAAGCCCAGCTTGAGCAACAAAATATAGAAAGCAGTAGCACTAGGCGCGTTCGTAAATCTGCAAGAATTCATGCAGAAAAGCTTAATCGACGGCGCGAAAGATATGAATGATGACACAGCACTAGAAATATAGGAGGGTGGTGCAATATATGTAGGAAAGCGGAAGCATGCCGCAGCATTTGAGAATGTGTCAGAATGGCTTATAGCATTCAAAGCATACATGGACACGGTTTTGATAATATACGATAACTGAGAACAAGAGCTCAATTCGTATAGAGACTATATAAATGAGCTATGTGTTAGATACGATTTTAATGCTGTTATGAGGTATGACGAAGAACGAAGGGTTGCGCTAGTCATGGACCGCGACTCAACATTAATGGACAGGAGCATCGAAGCTGAAGGCAAGTGCTTCGGTGCCACTACAGCAAGAAAGGCTAAAGAAGGGTGGTGCCACCCAACATTTGCAAATACACAATGGTTCAACAGGAAAGAGATTTGTATCAACTGGAATCGTCGCTCATGTCCCAAAGAGAAGAACTGCGGTAGAATCCACGCATGTCTCATATGCAAGAAAACCGGACACAGCGAAAAGAACTGCTTTCGTAAGAATTCAAGGAAGCTAGAATAATAAAAAAAAAAAAAAAAGGGAAAGGGGAAACATGAAAGAAAAAGATGAAAAAAAAAAAAAGATGAAACAATGGAGCCACGGGAAAGGCGATTGAGAAACGAGCACGTGAATTGAAACCAATCACAGGAAAAGAAAGTTATAAAAAATAATAATAATAAAAAATAAAAAAAAATAAAAAAGAAATAGTAATAATAATAAGAGAAAGGCATACACACACACAGTGTGACTAACAATAAACGCTTCATTATATATAATAAAAAAAAAATTTTTCTAAGCTGCTATAGGTCTGAATGGGAGACCAATAAGACACACGGCACAGTTCAAGTCATCCAGGGCAATAATGGCGCATACAGAACCATATCTACAATCAGTTGAGCTCACTATTAAGGCAGTTCTTCCTAGGTGTAATCTATTCACTCAAGAAGAGGTAGCAATCATGGCACAGTTAGATCCAGAGAAATTTAACGTGACGACTCCCATCAACAAGCTGGCATTCGAATATCTTACATGCGAGCACCCGAACAAAGCATTTGTCCGGTACTTAATGAATGGTATCAAAAACGGGTTTAGATTTAACTTTGTGGACAAACGTACAGTCATTATACAAGAAAACTTAAAATCTGTGGATATAGAACCAGCAGCGCTAACTAATTATATAGAAAGTGAATTGGCAATCGGGCGTATGTGTGGTCCGTTTACACTAGAACAGCCTCCATGCGCTGCTTTTCAAATAAACCTGTGCAGCTTGGTCGAGAAAAAAGGAACCAACCCTAAGACATATAGAGTAATATCACATTTATTTGCCCCGGCTGGTACAAGTATAAATGACGGCATTGATGAGTAGACTTCGCAACTAAGTACGAAAACTTAAACTATACAGTAAGATGGATCACCCAGTATGGAAAAGGATGTTTGTTATCTAAAGTTGATATTAAGGATGCATACTGTATTCTCCCAGTCCACCCCGTCGATCAAGTATTGCAGGGTATACAGATAAATGAAAAAATTTACTTCGACAAGGTACTGGCTTTCGGCAACCGGCCCTCAAGCAGCATATTTTGCCATTTTGCAGATTTGGTTACGTGGATCGCCGTGCAACAGGAGATCAAATCGATCATACACTATGTTGATGACTTCCTAATCATCTCCAATAAAAATGCAGAGCAGGAGTTAAGACAGTTCTTACGTATTTTAGAAGTGATGAACATTCCGTATAAACCGTCAAAATTAGAGGGTCTGATTACTGCACTAACCTTTTTGGGAATTAATATCGATACAGTCAATTTTTCTGCGTCCATCCCTGAAGCTAAAAAGGGTAAAATTTTAGAAATGTCAGCTGAATGGAGCGGTAAAGAGTGGTCTTACAAGAAAGAGATGCAATCATTAGTTGGCTCTCTTGTGTGGCTATGCCAAAAAGTACCCCAAGGCCAACTGTTCGTTCAATAGTTCATTAGAGCGATAAGCGGCCCTAGACAATCGAAATATCAAATCAAAATATCTAAACCAATGAAGGCGGACTTATATTGATGGTCAAAAATTCTTCCAGGATAGTTGGGCGTATATTTACTAGAAGACAGAACCTGGCTGCAACCTAGTACTAAGAACCTATTTACAGATGTGTCCAACTTGGGCGGTGGCGCTATGTTTGAATTATAATTTACAGCGTTTAACTGGAGTTTGGAAATGATCTTAGCAGAAAATTCTATCCAAAAGCGTGAACTCTTGACAAGCTTGATAGCAATACTAACCTTTGCACCTCTTTGGAGCCGGAAGAAACTAATAATGTTGATGGACAACCAAGTCAACACAGAAGCTTTCTACACAGGCTTCTGCAAAAACGAAGCAATAAACAACATAATAAGCAAGATGTACATGGCACAGATACAAGGCAACTTCGGCATAAAATTAGAGCACATTGCTGGAAAATCCAACACCGAGGCAAATTTATTATTACGCAACGGGCACAAAGAATACATAGCATGAAATCTATTTGCGTGTTACTTACAACCTAATATCCCAAACAAATATACTAACTTGATACTACTGATCTCATCTTTAATTCAATAGTAATATATAAAGAGAAGGTCCAAACTTCCATAGTCCCACGTACACAGGCAAACAAAGCACCTTTGAATGAACAAGCAGCAAAGATCCTAGGAGTTCAAGCACCTGGGTACAAAACTTATGCCAGAATTATAAAGCGTTACCAAAATTTAGCGGAAGAAAATCAATGGGTGAATTTAAACGGGTCTATATGGCCAATATCCAAAGAAAATTTAACAAAATATATCAAGTACTTACACACCAAAGTCGAACCGCAAACGATCACTTCTTACCTATCTGCACTATGACATCACCACACAATGAACCACATGGAATGGAATAATACTCGCCATGACCCGCTAATCAAGCAACTTTTAAAAACGATAGAACTTACCTACATTATTTGTCACGCCGGGTACTTTAGTCAGTGCACTACGGTAAGTCAATCTCAATAACTCGAATAATGAAATTCATTATTTAAAACTAATCTATTAGCTCGTGCAAAGATATACAGTATAACCAAAATCAGATAAGTTTATAAATAGCAATTCTATGAATAACATATATTAAAATAATAAATTGAGCCACGTTTAAAAAAAAAGTAACACCTAAAATTATTAACTAAAAAATCTTGTAAATTTAATTATTATTGAGGTAAATTTGGGAGAGCCTTGTTGTAGATACATTGGAAAAGTAACTGCAGTGAAAAATATCCGAATAATTTTTTGCTCCCTAAGAATATAAATTTAAAAATTTTTAATAAAAATCTTTCATTTTCTTTTCCCGTCAGAAATATCGGATATTTGCATATCGGAAACGTGTCAAGGTTTGTGGCGTAACAAAAATCTTCAATGTACGTTTATATTAAGGTTAGGACTAGGGTTATGGTTAAAGGAGATAGACTATATAGTAAAATTGTCCAACAAAAACTGTTTGTTAGGGCGCTAAAGGGTTTCTTATAAAGAATTTTGAGTAGTAAGCGATTTTTGATAAAACAGACGTTTGTTTGAATCTTCTTGATTATGTTACGTTTCACCTGACCTTGAAATCTGATTCGTAGTTTATGGTATCTGCGCCACAAACCTGGCACACATTTCCGACATGCCGGATGTTTATCAAAATTTTGCCATTTTTTATTTTTTCGGAATTTTTTTTGTATTTCTATTTCTTAATTCCTCCCAGCATTATACTTCTTGTTCTAAATTACATTATGAATTTTATGTTCACAGTTTGTTCTTAAAAGGGAACATAATTTTTAATTCTATTATTCCCAATTTTTTTCAAATGTTCTTAGGAACACTAGATATTTAACACTGATAACTGCTGCAATAAATTTAACGGGGAACATTGTTGTCAGCAAATGAATAAAAATAATTGGTCTATGTTGTTCTATTACTTTTAGTGATCCAAGCCGATTAAATTTTTATGGCTAAGCTAAGCCATTATATTTTTAATGGCTTAGCGGCTTAGCCTATAATTTATGCTACTGAATCATAGGATGTCTATATAGTACTTCAAGTAACTGTACTCCGCGAAATCAAATCAAAATTTGAATTTGAATCAAATATTTTCAAATATTTGATCAAACATTTAAAATATTTGATCAAATATTTGAAAAAATTTGATCAAACTTTTAAAAAATTTGACCGAATATTTGAATATATTTGATTCAAATTCAAATTTTGATTTGATTTTGCGGAGCACTAGTACAGTACTTCATTCTATATAAGTAGCTTTTAGATTAGGTTTACTTTAAATATACCAACTGTTTTTATACTATAGAATTTTTAAATAACAAAT